CAGCCCTTTTGGGGTGATAAACGCAATCTTCTCCTCATCTGGAGGGTACATGGCTATTTGATGGTACCCCCTGTAAGCATCCAGGAAGCTCATCCTTCCATGCCCTGAAGTGGCATCCACCTGTTGGTCAATCTTGGGTAATGGGAAGCTATCTTTGGGACAAGCCTTGTTCAGGCTAGTGAAGTCCACACAGACCCTCCACTTCCCATTCTTTTTCTTCACAACCGTATTTGATAGCCATGTCGGGTAACTTACCTCTCGAATGGCTCTGGCCTCCAGAAGTCTATCAACTTCTTCTTCTACTGCCTCAACGTGCGTCAACGTCGGCCTTCTGGCTCGTTGGATTACAGGATGAAGACAAGGAAGACATGGAAGACATGGAAGTCCTGTAGGACGTCGGCAAAGAGCCAGCCGAGAATAGTGAGGAAGCCTTGAAGAAAGTCCTTGTCCAGCAAGGGGACGAAGAACGCTTTTTCCTTCTCAGCTCGGGCTTGGCCGAGGAAGAAGAAAAAGAACTGGAGGCGTTCTTAAGAACAAACATTGAGGTGTTTGCCTGGATGCCTTACGAGATGCCTGGCATCCAACGAGCCTGCTAGTTTTGCTTCCCGAATGTTGCAGGTAGATTTTATTACTGCTATGGAGCAATTCTTTGCCTGCACTTGATCCCCTCTAACCTCCTCTATCCCATGCTCTGTTGGGAATCGCAGCAGTTGGTGCAATGTTGAGGGAATAGCTCCCATTGCATGCAGCCATGGTCTTCCCAGAATTGCATTGTAAGGGGGAGGGGGTGTCAATTATGATGAACTCTGTATTCACCCTCTTGGTGCCAGCCTGCACCTCTAAGCTTGCTGCTCCCAAGGGCTATGTCGGCGTTCCATTGAACCTAACCATTGGGCCGTTGGACTGTTCTAAGTCATCTTGGTGAAGGTCAAGCTCCTTGTAACACCTGACATACATGATGTCACAAGAGCTACCCTGGTCGACTAAGATGCCCTTCACTTGGCATTCTTCAATCTGGAGGGATATTACTAAGGCATCGTTGTGTGGATGCTGCACCATCTCTAGGTCTTCCTCAGTAAAGGACACCACTGGTCCTTGGCTCTCGCCTGCCCTAGGTCTCTTTTTCCTGACCTGATATACATGTTGCAGGTTTTTTACCTTTTGGGTTTCCCCCCTTATCTCATTCTCATTTACCTTTGAGTGGATCACATTGATCACTCGAGGTCCGCCTGCCTGTGGTTGTGGTGCGGGTGGAGGTGGTGTTGTTGGTGCCTGGGGCAGTCTTGTCTGCCCTTCCCTTGTTCTGGCTTCATCTACCATGTCCCTTAAATGGCCCTGTCTTACTAGGTCTTCCAGATGTCTTCAGGGCTCTGCACCCCTGAGTCAGATGTCCAGCTTCATTATGGTAAGCACAGTGCTTGTCAAGGCTTCTTCCCATAAACTCACTTGGTACCCTTGCTGGTGCTCTGTAGTAGGGCTCATTGTAGATTTTCTCCAAGACTTTGTAAACCGGAATTCGGAATACGGTTGTGACTACCTGAGCAGCCCTTAATCCGATTTCTGGTTTGTTATAGCCACCATTACCTCGGTCTCGCTTCGGCGAGCCGTTTTTCTTCTTTGGTTTCAGCGCCTTTGTTCCCGGTGTATCCTTCTCGGCCCTGGCGGACTTCTCTATTCTGGCCATTAATTCCTCCACACTTTTTGGCAGTGTTTTTGCCAATGATTTTCGGAGCAGAAAATTATCATTTAGGCCATTCTTAAATGATACGACCGCCACCTCTTGGTTGCATTCTGGTATCCGGTTGAATACCTCATAGTACCTTTTAGCATAGGCCCTCAGGCTTTCGTCATCGCCAATTTTCAGAGCCATCAGGGCATCCACCCTTAATGGCTGTAGTTTGTTCATCACGAACCTGGCCACAATCAACTCGGCTAGGCCTTTCTAGGTTTTCACAATTCCTTTCGGCAACTTGTGAAACCAGTCTGATGCAATTTCTTCGAAAGATGAGGGGAACACCTTGCAAAGCAATGGCTCGTTCCCGGTGTATAACGCCATCGAGTTCAGGTACAAACCGACGTGAAAGTTGGGGTCCGACTTCCCATCGTAGATCTGGAATCTCGGCATGCTAAACCTCTTCGGGGCTTCGAATTTGTCCAATTCTACCGAGAATAGCGTTCTCGGCTTGACCGGGGAGGTTATCTCGGCATCTTGTTGCCTCCTCTGTAGGTAACCCCTTAGGTCTTCCTTGGTCCGACCAGGAGCTCGGCTATTTCCTGACTTCAGCCTTTTAGGTGCACTACTCTCAACTTCATTGTGAGCCCTCTTCGACCTTTCCCCATTAGTTGCGTTGAGCACAACTCCTGCCCTTGAACATGCCGATGTTCTTTGGGGTCTGCTTCCTTGGTGCGATGTGTCCTTCGAGATTCTTTCCTTCTTGACTCTCCTCGCCCGACCTCCCTTGAACGCCGGTGAGAGTGTTTTTCGCTCCTGGTGTGCTGGGGGACTGTAGGCTATGTTACACGGACTCGGATATTGGTATCGGGTGAGGGTATGTATCCAAGGGTCAGACACTTCAAAATTAAAAATTAAGAATACGTGGATATGTATCCAAATTTGGATACGGGTACGGGGATACATTAAATAGTTTATTTTAAAAAATATATATTTATTATATGAAGATGAGTTTTTTTTAAAAAAAAAATATTTATTATATGTAGATGAGTTATATTATATAAATAACAAATACAAATTATTTTAGATATAAAATAAATTATGTTATATATGATAAAATAAGTTATTTTTATTTTAGACATAAAAATTATATTATTTATGATATATTGTATTATATAATTTTTTTGGATGAATAATATTATATATTATTATATTAATGTAATTTATACTATATGTTAATATAAATGTAATATGAATAATGGATGAATAATATTATATGATATGAATAATATTATATTTGAATAAAAAAAAAAGAATAATATTATATATTATATTATTATATTATGAGATTTATATTATCTACTAATATTATATACTAATAAATATATTATTATTATTATATACCAATATATTATTATATTATTATCTACTAATATATTATATTATTATATTATCTTCTAATATTATATACTAATAGAGGGAGATCGAGAGAACAAAGAAGAGAAGGAAGAACAGAGAAGAGAAGAAAGAAGTCGGCGACCAAGAGAGAGAGAAGGGAGATTGAGATCGAGAGACGAGAGGAGAGGAAGAGAGATCGACAGATCAAGAGACGAGAGAGAAGACAGAGAAGGAGATCGAGAGACGAGAGAGAAGACAGAGCAGGAGATGGAGATCGAGCATCGAGCAGGTCGAAGCAGTCGAAGCAGCGACCGATGTCTTCGCCATTTCAACAAGTGACCAGGTTCTCTCTTTCTCTCCCTCTTTCATCTCTTTTGCTGCCTGTAAAGAGCCATGTCCGAGAGAGAACACGCGAATCTGACACAAATCCCATACCCGCACCCGTGTTGTGTCGTGTCGACACAGGTACTTCGCCCCAAAGTGCCGAGTCCATGTAACACAGACTGTTTTCTGCCCATTTTGTCGGGCATCTTTCTTAGCTGCTGGAATCGGTGTATCTTGTAACGGGAACGGTGGCTGCATGACGTTGTACTGCATCATGAAATTGACGACCGTTTGTAGGTCCGCCAATTTGTTCGCCATTCCGTTTACCTCATCGTCCCTCCGTAGGCATCTATCCTTCTATACCTAAAGGTCGTCCTCGTTGTAATACCCGCTTCGGTCCGTTTTCTTTGGTACGTCGCCTTCCTGGCCAACGTCCTTTCCTCCGTGATTCTTATCACGAGTCTCTTCGTTGCAGTTGTCTTCTTCGACGTCAAGGTCAACAGGTTTTCCACTCCCAATAGGAGTGTCATCCCCAATCTTCTCTTTCTGTCCGTTGTTGGCCGTCTATTCTCCTTTCTTTTCCATAGACGACGCCAAATTGTGTGTGTCAATTTCCGACCACACTGCCAATCAAGCACTCAGCTGGAGAACACTGGCAGAATAGATTAAGCCCGAACGACCTGTCACAAAAAGAAGAGATTCCGGCGGTGATTCGTCCACCCGGGGACACTCCGACGATCAAGTCAGTTATCTCTCAAAGATAGCAAAAGTACTTAACTTACTTATTAAGAATACAAAAAGCTTACTTTAGACCCATGGGGTGCCTCTCTTTTATAGTCAACACAATCTTAGTCCCAATAGAAGCTTAGCTTCAATGGACTTAGGATTACTGCTTATCTTGGACTCCCAGTAGGATTGGGATAAACTCTCCAAGAGTCTTTTCTTTATCCAAACTGAAGTCTTCTCCCATTCTAGGACTCTTGTCCCTTTTCCGCTTATCCCGGATTCCGGTAGTCTCGCAGATAATCTCGGCCTAGCCGAGATCACCTCGGCGTTATGACCAGGACACGTGGCATCCTGGCTGGCACTTCGGTGATACCTCAACCACGTGTTGTCACTCAAAAATTATGTCCCCACAAGTAGTTTTGATTTGAGCTTAGAAATCAAGTCTGATGCTGGAATTATTGAGGATCTGGATCTTGGAATAACAGGTGAGTGATGTCGCTTCAATAATCAAGCAACCTATGATTTTCTACTCATCTGTCATTGAAAATTTAGGTGTCCAAAAAGCATCACTAGAGTTTTTGATCCAATTAGTGGTGGTAACATCACAATGTGATCGTCATTGCCTGCTTCCTTTTTCCTTAGCGTGCCTGCACGAGTTATTGCCTGTCAGTTTGTTTAACATCCCAAAAGTTGTTTCTTTATCTTTTCATTTGGAATATAAGCTAACATTTTTCAATCTTAATTTTGTATTTGTGAGATCATTCTGACATAATTGTAATTTAATTTTTGTGCATTTGGGAGTAGCCAACCAAAAATACTTTGTATTCCGTTTTCATCTTTTATGTCCTTTGTGATGTTGTTTGACCCTGACTTTCATAAGTGGCAGGTTGTAAAAAGGGTAAAAGTTCGTATCCGAACGGTAGAAGATGTATGGGCTTTAAAATTTATGAATTTCATGACCGGTGTAAATCAATTATTGTCTGACGGTGGTTTAACACGCGAGTTGCCCCTGTAAGTTTACTTATTGTCTCTGAAGGTTTTGCATGTTGATTTATTTATCAAAAAAGGTTTTGCTTGTTGATTTACATGGTAATTTTGATTTAAATTTTTATATATATATATATATATTTGGGGGGAGAAGTTTAATAGCATATACTGATTAATTCAATTGCCTTTGATCTTATAACATTATTTGTTAACATTTTTTGGTCTCTGTTGGACTAACTTCTTGTACATTGCAGAGTAGGTTATGTGGAAGGTGTATGGATGGTGGGAGTAGTTGATGAAATTCGAATGCCTGTAAATGAGACTCAGAAGAACCCAACATTATTAGACATAAAAACTCGTGTACAAGCAACTGTGCCTAGTGAACCACAACGAAGAAATGGAATGTATGCATTTTCTTTTCATGCAGCTTTTGTGAATGATTTGTAGAAGCATATTGTTGCCTCATAATCTGTTAAAAGTTTTAGTCAGAAATAGAAAGACAATTCTTTGACCATGAATGAGTATTCATTTTTGCAGGCTGCAGTTGATGTGCTATAAGTATTTGTGGGACAGTTTAGCTGCTGATAAATTCCCTACGGGACAATTCTTTGATTTCTTTTCTTTAAATCCAAATTGCATTTTATCTGAAGAAATCAGAGCGAACTCTGTTAAGTCAGGTTTTCCCGCAGAGGTAATAAATTCCCCTTTCTTCTTCTGAAGTGATTTTCAAAAATTAAAAATATATAATAAAGAAAACAAAAAATTGAAAAATGAAGATTAAAAGCAAATAACAAAAAATTGGGATATTCTGATGCAGAATGACAGCTTAGTTGGTTTTTATTGGTTATTTAATTACCTGATCCTTGGTATAAGTGATATTTTGCTTGCGCCTTTATTTTTAGTTTATCTCATCTTAATTTTGAAGGGAAAAAAAGGGTTCATCTCATCTTGGCTGTGTGTGCAGACTCTTGATGATTTAGTGAGGTATTTCCGGAATACTTGCCGCATACTTCCTCCAGCTTATGACCAGCTATTGTTGCGGTGAGTTCAAAAACGAGGCCAGTAGTGGATACTTCTGTAATTATTTTTCCCTCCCCAATCTCTTTTGGTTCAAGGTTGGATATTTCAATTTTCAAGTTTTTAAATACATACTACTTCATATGTAAAGACAATCAACCTTTGATACCTTTGCAAGTAATTTTTCTTCAAAGCTCTCTCCTCCTCCCCTTGGATAAAATAACCTGTGCTTAAATCCCTAGGTAGGCTCTGTTTGGCAACAGCTAAGTTAATAGTGATTGTTTTTAAATTTGTGTCCATTTTGTCCTTCGATGTAAGAAGAAAAAAAAATTATAGAAATCCAAAAAAAGTTCACTCAAGACCCCAAAAAAAAGGGAAAAATTATCCATAGGTCCGGTCCTGTTTGAAATATGTGTACACTATTTAATCCAACAACTTTTTTAGTAGACCCAAAAGTCCTACTTTTCCTCTCTCTCTCTCTCTGCTTTTTGCCTCATTTTTTACGTTTTTCTCTCTCTTTTTTTGCGTTTTCCTCTCCTTTTGTTTGTCATGGACGACGACCGGTGATCACACATTTCTTATTCTCTTTCTCTTTCTCTTTCTAATATATAGTCACCGGTGACCGACGATCACCATTGATTGGAGTTCACTAGCAACTACCAACCATCGACATCAACTTGTGACTTCATCCTCATCGACGGCGAAGAAGATGAGTAGATCTACTCAAATCTGATGAGTAGATCTACATGAGATCCGACTAGATCTAAACAAAAAATAGTTGCCGAAATATAATATTCTTTCTATATCTATTCTTTCCTTCGATTTCACAATTTTTCTACCTTTTCTCTGTTACACAAGTCTATTTTTCTATTTTAATGGAGAAAATTTTTAAATTCTGAAGAAGTTGTTTTTGAGTATTAGTTACATGCGGTGAAAACTGTAAAATTTTGCAGTTTCAATTTTTTTTGTTGCTGGAATGAATCATGGTTTAAAACTGTAAAATTTTGCAGTTTCATAACATTTTTTAAAACTGTAAAATTTTGCATTTTCATAATATTCTTTAGAACTGTAAAATTTTACAATTTCATAACATGTTTTTCAGTTTGATTAATAAGGATAAATACTTAATAGATTTTTTCTCTGAAACTGTAACATTTTACAGTTTCAAAACTTGTTTTTCAGTTTGATCAAAATTAGAGATTATTTGCTTAAACCCTACAAAAATTGAAAAATAACATATGTTTTTCCCATTGTTGATGTTTTTTGTCGTTACATTTTTTTTTTCTTTTAGTTTATCAATATTTAGCACATTTTGCTATGTTTTTTCGCTCTAATTTCTCCATTTATTCTTTTTTTTTTTCGGGTAATATTCTGAACATTTCAGTGAGTCTCCAATGATGTTGTTCTTAACGTCCAACGAACGTTTTGAACATTCCGGTGACTTCCACTGACATTCATAACAGTCTGGTGAACTTCCGGCAACTTCCCGGCGATACTCCGGCGACTTTCCAGCGATACTTCGGCTACTTCCCGGTGATGTTGAACATTCCGGCGAGTCTCCGGTGATTGTCTGACGGAAGTCCGATGGTAGTGGATGTAATAGCATCTGTAAATTTTAAGAAAAAAAAAAAAAGAAAAGATTTTTTGGTAACAATTAAAAATATATATGACTAATTGGTACAAGTATTTTGTTTTGGGATTAGATGGGTGCCTAGTTGTTCGATCATCATCCGATTATTCTTATATTTGAAAATCTTCTCACTAGGGTTGAAGTTAATTTGGAAAGACTTCAGGTTCTTCATATGCTGGAATTTTTTTTTTTTTTTGGTCATATTCTTGCAGTAGCTTTTTTTTCTTTTTCTTTTTTTTTCATGAAACCTTTTAGATCTGTCTAGACTACATAATCCTGAAAATTTTAAAAATAAAAAAAGTTCAGGAAAGACTAAAATAAACTAACTGTTTTAGAATTTTTCAAGAAAAAATAGCTTAACATGAACTGCTCTTCTTATTCATCTATTTTGGTTTTTATTTTCTTGTGGGGAGCTGCAGATATGAATTGCAAGAAGATCATTCATTCATCAGTGAAGATCAATTTAGTTATGATTCTGATTGGCTTAAGGGCCAAATTCAGTGTAGTCTTCAGTTCTGGCAGGGAGAGCGAGAAGCCAAATATGCTCCCGAGGAAGAGAGATGGAAATGCAAGTTCTGTAAGTTTGCTTCTGTGTGTCCAATCAACGCTAGCCCCACTGGTAAACCAATGTAGAGAGAAATTACTAACAACCCTTTTCTCTCGGCAGTCCATTTGATATTCTCCCCCAATAATGTTCTTGACCTCACCTTTCTGCAAAGAAGCAACAATTTTAGGGTAGTGCTTCTTTGTAGCTTTGTTTGATTGGTGGAGAGGTGGTGGCATATGTTTGGTAGGCCATCCCGATCTGCTATACCATAGGTCACGTATGTAGTATTTATGTACAAGCCTCTTTTGCAGGCTGTGATGATTCATTGTTGTGCAGTATTCATAGCAAATTCATTGTAATGAGCTTGTATGTATCATTTTATGTACAAGCCCTACTTTATAGGCTCTGGTGATTCATTCTTGTAACCTACTGACATATCATTCCTTAAATTATAGTATTGTTTACCTAATTATTTGTAAGTTGCTGAGTCTCTCTCTCTCTCTCTCTCTCTCTCTCTCTCTCTCTCTCTCGTGTGTGTGTGTGTGTGTGTGCACGCTTCTGTTGCATACTGCTAATATGTGTAGGAAGTGATTTTGTGGGTGATTGAGAGGGAAGGGGAGGCGTAGGCATGGTGTGGTGGTGGGGTGTTAGTGTAGAGAAGAAAGGGAACAAAAATTGAAAAATAAAAAGAAAGGTGGGTTAAGGTTTATGTGTGCAAGGGGAAAATGTAATTTTAGTTCTGTTAATTCAATTACAATTTTCGTTATTATGGAAAAGATTGGCGTAATTATGTTAAAAATTATAAAATATATTATATTTTTACAAATTTAAGAGGAGGTCGGTGTAATGTACTTCTGATTTGAATCATTGTAATGGATTTGTATCATTGAAATGGACTTGTGATAAATCTCACGAGTCTAAACAATATCCTCTTAGACTGAACTGGAGAGAAGTATGGTTAAAATAAATACTACAAATAAGCAAAATAGGTGCATAAAACAACAAATTTGTCTAGTTCTTAAAACATTGTAAAAACACATTATTATAAAATGTCTGATTTATAATTGTAAATAAGTTTTTTGTGTATAAATTTTATTTTATAGATTATTTTTTAAAAAGAATTAACATATTGTGGACATTTAAATTTAGGAGAAAAAATTCAAGAGCAAATTATATTGGTGACTCTTACATTTTACTTTTTGTGTCATTTTGGTCTCTATAGACGTATTGATCTACATGTCTTGACTAATAAATTTATCATTGTAAATTTATTCACAAAAACAAAAAAGACTTAATGGGTTGTTAGGACCTATTAGAAATTTGTCCTATGTTTCAATTGACGCAATTTTAACCTTTAATTTTATATTTTGTATCAATTTGATCTAATTGATAATGTTATTAGTATTTTTGATGAAAAATTATTGCTAAATTAGTTGAGGTTAACTCATTGAGTTAAGTAAGTTTATAATTTTATTTTGGGTAAATTACATTGACACCCCCTGAAGTTTATATTTATTATAGTTTCTCCCCTCACCTTTTGAAAATTGCATCATCCTCCCTGAGGTTTAAAGTTTTATTATAGATTGCCCCTGATGACTTGCATAATATGTGTATAATTTATGACTTCTCAACTTTAAACTTTAGTCTAATTTTATTTATTTTTTGTTGATTTTAGGCTTCATTGTTGTTATTTAAATTTTATTTCAAGGTTGAAGAAAATGAAGATTGAAAAGTTGTTGTTTAAAAGATAAAGATAAAGATCAAGTCAAATTCTTTTAAATAAAAATTTGGCATTTTGAAATAGAAAAATGTTTGAGGGCCACAAAAAGTGTGGCTCAAATGGCTCAAAACTATCAAAACGACGTTGTTGTTTTGACAGTTTTGAGCCATTTGAGCCACACTTTTTGTGGCCCTCAAACATTGCTCTTTGAAATATGAGAGGGATTCACGCAAGGATTGTTACAAATTGTTTTCTAGCCTTTTGGAGTGGGACCCATCATCTTTTCTAAGAGAAATTTTGATAGACACAAGACAAGATTGACTTGGTCTTCAAAAAAGGAATTATAGCCTTTATTTTTGAGATTTGATGGAAGAGATAGCAGATTTTCAAGCAATCTGTTTTGGAGCTGCACATTGCACGCAAGAAGAGACTTATGGCATTGGATTTGAAATTTTTTTTGATAAAATCTTGGCACCTGCATATATATATATATATATAGGAGATATTCTTTTTTCTTGGAGAAGGAGAATGCAGAGAGAATTAAATTGAATTAGTTAGATGAGTAAAGCATAGTGAGGGATTAGTTGAAATCGATTTCCTAAAAGTTTTCTTTCCCATTTATTTGATTTTCCAACAATATTTTTCATTTCCTTTGAGTATTTTCTTTGAATTAATTTTATTGCAATTACAGAAATCTTAGTGACTTTTCTAAATAAAGTCAAGATTAGTATAATTTCAGTATTTGTCAAAAGTAAGTGAGAGGGTAATTTATAAGTAAATTGGGCCGAGCTAGGTAATGGGCCGTTGTATGGGCCACAGTGAGAATGGCTGAGTAAAAGGGCCTTGTAAGTTAGCTCGGTCCAAAAGAGCCTTGTAGTTAACTCGGTCACCACTGTCAGAGTGATAACAGTTAGCTCAACCATACCCTTCTGAGCCAAGATATTTTGAGCTTTTCTCATGACCTTGCTACGGATTAGCTCGGTCCAAGCTCGTTATGGCTAGCACGGTCTCAGCAGGAGAAGCCGATGTACACGCAATGAAAGGAAGAACCAAGCTAGTTAAAGCTCGGTCATTTCAGCCAGTTTAGCGTGGCTATGATAGCTCGATTGTTTTGTTATACTACCAAGGTAAAACCATCTCACTTGATTTAAGCAGTGAGGGGGGTGTTGAAGGATAAGCATTATCTTTCAGGAGTGTGATTCCTTAGAGGAATAAGAGTCCTATTAGGATTGTGCCACGCGAAACCTATAAAAACTCATAATATCACCTAAGGAGAGGTAACACAACTTTGATTCCTGAATTCACAGAGCTCTTGTGTCTATTGTCTATTGTGCTGACTTAAGCATCGGAGGGGTTTCCGGCACACACCCACCGGTTAGCTCACGTTTGTGTTTTCAAGTGGCAAAGCGACGACGTTTGGAGGAGTGCAAGCTTGATCAACAGGATCATACGAGAAGAATTATTTTGTGCTCGTACAATTAGCGTCGTCTGTGGGAATTCCACAAAGAACAAAACCTCTTGATCAAGCTTTCGTCTCTAGTTGAGATCAATGGCACACAATGAAGACTTACCGCAGTCCGCTATCGATGGACAAACCCCAGAGGGGGGTGGGAGGCGCGAAGGTTTGCCTTCTATCCCTCCCATGACGAATTTAGAGCCCCAGCGACAGAACCCCCTGAGGGATGCAAGGGGAAGGCAGGGTAACAGCCCCCGTCACTCTCAAAGCCCCGAAAGGCAGAGGCGGAGGATTGACCCTCAGGTTCTGGAGGATCGCGTGAAGGATGAGTTGATACGAAGGATGGCGGCGGACATGGAGTTGATGAAACGCCAGATAAAAGGAAAAGGAGTGGCGACAGGAGAAGGGCGCAAAGGCAGTACGCCCCCTCACCACTCAGAAGGTCGTGGTAGACACACCACGCCGTCACAAGCAAAGAGTAGGAGCCTTAGAACAGGCGACACTCAAACAAGGCTTTGATGTGCATTCTATTCCCATCCAGCCTTGGCGACCTAGGCTTAACCTGGTTCGAAAGGCTACCAGAAGGCAGCATCGCCTCTTGGGCACAATTGGCCGAGGCGTTCGTGACTAGGTTCAGAACGAACACCAAAACACCAGTAGAGATCGATCAGCTACTCTCCATTGACATGGACGACAAGGAGACGCTGAGATCCTACAACAGTCGTTACTGGGAGACCTTCAACCAGATAAGAGATTGCCCCACCAATCTTGCCATCGCGCAGTACAAAAGGGGGCTACCAGTCGGAAACAAGTTGAGGGATTTAATAACTATGGCGCCACCCCTCACAATGGAGGCCTTGATGGAGTGAGTGCACCAGCATATTCGGGTGGAGGAGGATGGCGCCCGTGCTAAAACAAAATCTGGCACAGTAGCAATACCAGATAAAAAAACTGCGGCAAAAGTCAATACGGTAGAACGCCCCAGCAGGAAAATGCCAGATAAAAGGACTACAACAAAAGTCAACACGGTAGAGCAACCTAACAGGAATGAGCGAGGCAGGCGGGCCAACAGAGAGGACTCAGACAAAAGATGGTTAAGAGTCCGCACTACCATCACAACGGTGTTCAAAAAACTGATCTACCGGATTCTCAATGAGATACGCGATGAACCTTTCGTCAGATGGCCAGCTAAGTTGGGAGAAGCACAGAAGGACTATAACGAAAGGTCCCGGTGCACCTTCCATGATGAAAAGGGGCACCGCACTGAAAATTGCACGCCGTTGAAATAGCGCTTGGAGGAGTTAGTGGTAGCTGGGCACCTGGACCAGTACATAGAATGAGAGACACAACCAGCCCCCCAGAACCACGACAACCCAAACGGAATGCCAGTCGACACCCCACCTCAAGGCGTGATTAACGTAATATATAGGGTATTCGAACTTGAGTGAGTATGTGAGCTCAGGGGAATGATCAAGAAGGCTGAGCACTTAAGGGAGGTACTAAGTGCACAACTTGCTACCAAAAAGGGGAGAACAGAGGCCACGAATGTCATATCCTTTTCAGACAGAGACTTGGCGAGGATATATTGCCCTTACAACGATGCACTAGTTGTCACTCTCCGCGTCAAGGATTTCGACGTCAAACGGATTTTGATGGACCGAGGGAGCTCATATGAGATAATGTATTACGAAACCTTCAAACAACTAAAACTAGAGGATAAAGACTTGGCACCCGCCGTATCCCCCCTGATTGGATTTAATTCAATGCCAGAGTGGCCAGCTGGCAAGATAATCCTCCCAGTCAGAGCAGGAAGCATGACGAAACAGGTGGAATTCTGGGTATTGAAAGTCCCTTCCACTTACAACATAATCTTGGGAAGGACATGGCTGCATGCCATGCGATCGGTAACATCAACCTACCATCAAGTAATGTGGTTCCCCAACGAAGCCGGAGTAATTGAAGAGGTCTTTGGAGACCAAATTATGTCCAAACAATGCTTCGTCACAGTAAATGGCGGTCGCGCTGCCAAAGGGTATGTACAGATGGTGGAAGAACCTGAGAGTAATGAGTTGTTCACGGATGTTGGCAAAGCCGCTGAACAGAAGGCAGTGAAAGACTTGGCACAGGTAAGGATAGATGAAAAGAACCCGAAAAAGTTCTTCCTGCTCAGTTCATCTATGTCCAGCACTGAAAGAATAGAGGTCATGGAATTCTTGACCTCTAACATCAAAGTGTTCACCTAGACGTCGTATGATATGCCAGGCATTGACCCAAACTTCATATGCCACCAATTAAATGTCCATCCATCTGCCAG